CAAGACTGCCTTAGGGTTGTTGGTGCTACCTAGCCAATCGAGGATTTACATGCACAGCCTTATGCAGTATTACTTTCCGTGACGCCATGTTACACATAGTGCCCAGTCTTCTCTACGGCTCGGGACTCTTTCCAAGAATTCTTTATAGGCTAAATAAGTACTTCACATGGTCTTATCGTTACAGGGTTTCACATTTAAAAGCTCTCGTAGGTTACAGAGATAACTAATTAAATTAATTACCACCAGCTATAATTGAACTATTGACTTCGTCTGTGGAGGATTAGGCGCCTAGACTACTAGGCTATAGGACCCTAACCCTTTAATAAATAAATTAAAAAAGAATAAACTAATAAATAAAATACAATTTAATCAACTTTTTCCAATGATTACTTTTTCTACAAAAAATCTAAAATTCTTAAATAATACAAGTATTTGTAAAAGTAGAAACAGTTGGGAAAGTAGTCCTTAAGCTTCATAACTTGGCAGTTGTTATTTAGAGATAGTTCTCATATACTACCTGCTAACTTCCTCAGAGTTTATTACTTATTGCGGGGGCTGGGTACTTGTCATTTAGAAGTAGTTCTTATATGCTATTTGCTAACAAGCCCAGAATTTATCACTTATCTAAAAAAATAAAGAGAATACCTGCATTTTTCTATAGATTCAGTATGTTGAGTAAAGAAAATACATACTCTTTTATTAAACAAAACAAAGTGATTTCATCTCTTTTCTCTACCTCCTCACTGCTCTTTCTACAAAAGTGGACAAAATGGCTTACTTTCTCCAAAAGATTAATATTGTTTACACCTCCCAAATCTGAACAGTTTCAGCAGACTGTGATTACGTGTCTGGTTTGTTTTGTTTATGGATCATGCTGCTTCATGTAATACCAAGGTTGGCCGCTTACATTGTTTAGGAGTCCAGATAATTTAGTCAGAAAATTTATTTGATAAGGTAAAGCTTTACACTAGAGATATACAAATATTGTATTTGTTATATAATTTTTTTTAGCCTAGTATAGGTAATAGTAGTGCTAAAAAAACAGAATTTTCTGTTATCTTTTTTGTTTTCTTTTCTTTGTAATTTTTCTTTTATTTGATGATCCGCCACTCAACAGGTGCATGATCTTAATAAAATGTGACTCAGATTACTATATAAATTTACTATAGTGCAAATGTGGCGATCATACAAGATAAACTTTTTTTTGTACTAAGATAATTATCTTTCTTGCTTAAGAGACTTTTGTAAAGCTTGTCAAGACACATCTAATAGTAGTTAGAGCGTCAAAATCGGCTTGGTGAATATCGAGATATCTTTAAAAAAACTGGTTTTTTACTATATAAACTTTTTTGCAAACAATACTATTGTTTGCAAAAAAGTTTATATAGTAAAAGAACAGTTTTTTAAAGATATCTCGACATTCACCAAGCCGATTTTGACGCTCTAACTACTATTAGATGTGTCTTGACAAGCTTTACAAAAGTCTTTTAAGCAAGAAAGATAATTATCTTAGTACAAAAAAAAGTTTACCTTGTGTGATCGCCATATTTGCACTATAGTAAATTTATATAATAATCTGAGTCATATTTTACTAAGATCATGCACCTGTTGAGTGGCGGATCATCAATTATATTCTCTTTCGTATATATTTTTTTTCTTTATATTCTTTTTTGTTTTTGTTTTTTCCTTTTGTTTTTGTTGTTTTTATTTTATTTGTGATTTTTGTTTTTTACTCCTATTTGTTGTATACCTCTTTAAAGAAGAAAAAATGTTAAGAAAAAGGCAATCTTGACAAAGCTAGCAATAAGCTTTCAGTGATTTTTTCAGAGAGTCATCTAATAAGTTAAATGCCAGAGAGGAGTAAATTATTGCTGTGGCAGATCACACTTGAACACCATTATGAGCAGCTGAGTAAGTTTTTATTGAAGAGTAGAAGAGTGGAAGATATTGAGTTTATTGCAGGCTTTTTGTTTGGAAACTATGTATTTTAATTATGCACTCCTAATACAATAAAGGCAGAATTGCCAAATTAAAAAATAAATAAATAAATAAAATGATTATAAAATACATTATAAAGTTACTAATCTAACTCTATTTGTCTTAGTCTTTTATATTTGGATATTATTCATAATGATGCATCCTTTCCTAATGACATCTCTTTCTAACAACACATACAAATTTCGCAAGAAGAATAGTAAAGTATCATTTGTACCTACTAACAATATACTATAAAAATCTTGAATAATTAAAAAACAAAAAAGCAATATAAATACTCTCCAATTTTCCTTTAGTATTCAAATTAATCTTTCATCACAAAATTAGAAATCACCTCTATCTTTTCATTAATACTTTTAACTTTTTGTCTTCTTTATATCATTGATTCTAACTTTATAGCAAATTTATATGAGATAGTTATAGCTGAACTATTAGGTTATAATAGGCATAATGCTATTGGCAACCCTCTCCATGTACTTTACAATCTATTGCAAGATTACCAAACTCAAGTTGCAATTACTTATTAATCCTTTTTTCAATCTAAAAAAACAGAAAATTAAAAAGCACAATTATAGTATGTCTATTATTTAGATAAAATTTTGAAAAACATACAACCAGAGCAAAGAATAGCTTGTACCAAGCAACTCACCAGATATTATACTACTGTAATGTTAGAATTTATTATATTTTCTATAAGTGGAGAACTGACCTAATTGACAAAACTACAAAAATAACAGTGCTGATGATCTATAAACTGAAAAAAAAAAATTATCAGCAGATTTTAAATTATTTCTATTAAATAATTTATATAAATCATATAGCATTTGATAAATAATTTACATATCTCTTTTTTTTAAATAAAGATTAAGTGTATTACTATTTATTACTTTTTAAACAATTAAATTAATAAATATTTGCCCTTGCAAGAGCCAAAATTGTTTCGCTCTAACTGTAATTAGTAAGATCAATACTGCGATTCTTACTATGTGTAAATACTATAAATTTATATAAAGAAATTGCTAGTCAAATTAAAAAATATTTTGATTATAAACTTTTTTTAGTAATAGAGTAAACTTAAATACTTGACAGAAGTATTATATACAATATAGTACATACTTACATATTACTACAATTATTGTTTTGAACATCTATATTTGTGCTAATGAAATCTTTTCTATCTAATTTTTTTGGCTGCTGCTAAATACAATTACTAATTCCAAATCTTTTTATATATATAAGCACTTAAATAATATTATTAACTTTACTGTAGTGAACTAGTAGATCTCATAACTAAAAAATTTTTTAAAAGTTGTTAAAATAGTATGTTATTATATTAGGTGCAAAGCTCACTGATCTGAGAAATAAATTTGTTATATTTGTGGCTTAGTATAAAACTCTAAAGGGTTCACTATCATAGTATTATTTATATTACTGAATTATTTATTATTTGTATCATAGAGGCATGTTATTAGAGATTGGTGCAATTTACCAATAGCCAATAGAAACTTGGAGGAAAATTAGTAAATGCCTTGGAATCCACCAAGCCGATTTTGATGATCTAACCACCATTAGAACTAGAAAAGTCTTCTCTATAAGTTTATTTAAAGCTGAAAAAAATGTTTACTTATTAGTTTTAAAGTTAGAGTTAAGGTTAGAGGTTAGGGTTAGTGTTAGTTTAGTGTTAGAGTTAGTGTTAGAGTTATGAGCTTTTTATATTATTATCTAAAAATAGAAAATTTTGTATAACTATGATGAAAATAGCAAATTACCATAGTGGAAATAGTAACCCTCTAAATATATTATCTCCAAATAGTCCAAATTATTATTTGAACAAAAACAATTAGTAAAGAATTTAATATGATATTTTTAAAACCTTATTTAATTCTAAGAAAAATTCTAATTTTTTGAAAGTATGTTAAATCATTATTTGTTACAGATCATAATGAAATATAAAACCCATATATACTTGTTTAATATAAACTCTACTTAAAAAATGTATACAAACTATTTTATTTTTTGGTAGCTTGCTATTTTTTTATACTATTTTATTTTAATTTAATTTTAATTTAATTTAATTTTAATTTAATTTAATTTTATTTTAATCTAATTTTATTTTAATCTAATACATTTATTAAACATGTCTTTGAACTAATTCATTTTTAAATTTATAGTTTTCAGAGGACCCTAGACATCTCTCATATAGGTCATAACTGATCGGAGGTTTTCGCTACTCCTAAAATCAAGTGAATTCGCTAAAAATTCAATATGATATATAAATTGTGACGGCTGATGTTGAAGATCATGTGACATTTTGGTCCGGAAATTGCAGATCGGAAAATTTCAAAACAAATATTCGTTCTGCCATAACTCAAAAATCTGTATAAGAAACAACCTTTAGTGTTCTAACAAAAAGCTTTCCTTGAACAATTTTGTTAATATATTTACTAACATTTGACCATATTGTAATCACTAACTCTAACTTAAACGAAGATAAGTTCAATGACTACATCATCAAAAACCACATGACCAATAAATAAATTCTTTAAGTTTGTTTATATTAAGGTTAGTGCTTAGAAATTAGAAGGTTAGAAGGTTATGTAGTAAAATTGTTTAGAGAAAATTTGTGTTAGTGCATGAAATGCAGTTTCTTATGCAAAATTTTGAGAAATAAGCGATTTTGACAAATGACTGTTTGTTTTGAAATTTCCAGATCTGCAATTTCCGAACCAAAATGTCATGTAATATTCAGCATCAGCCAAAATCAGTATTAGCCGTTATATAAATTTTATAGTAATTCGCTGAAAATTCAATTATCACATATATATTTATAAAAAAAACAAATTTAAATGTATTTTTGAGAGCTGAAAAAGTTTACTTAGAATATAAAGTTATAATCAATTAGTAAAATTTTGAGAATCATAGCATTTTTTAATATTTTTATTAATAAAATTATATAAAATATTAATATTCTCAAAATTTTACTAATTGATTATAACTTTATGCTCTAACAATCCTTGTTCAGCACACAAAAATATATCATTCTGGTATATTTAATTTTATATTTCCTGAAAATTTAAGAGACAATGCTTAATTTTGGATATTTTGATCAAAATATCCAAAAATAAGCATCTTCTCTTAAATATTCATGAAACATAAAATTAAATATGCCGAAATAATGTATTTTTGTGTACTGAACAAGGTTTATTAGAGTATAATCTTAACATTTTATATAATTTTATTAATAAAAATACCAAAAATGCTATTATTCTCAAAATTTTACTAATTAATTCTAACTTTATGTTCTAATAAACCTTGTTCAGTACATAAAAATACATTATTCTGGCATATTTAAGCTTATATTTCCTGAAAATTTAAGAGAAAATACTTAATTTTGGATATTTTGATCAAAATATCCAAAATTAAGCATCTTCTCTTAAATTTTCAGGAAATATAAGCTTAAATATGTCAGAATAATGTATTTTTGTGTGCTTAACATGTTTACTTAGAGCATATAGTTAGAATCAATTAGTAAAATTTTGAGAATCATAATATTTTATATAATTTTATTAATAAAAATACTAAAAATACTATGATTATCAAATTTTTACAAATTGATTCTAACTTTATGCTCTAAGTAAACTTGTTCAGTACACAAAAATACATTATTCTGGCATATTTAATTTTATATTTCTTAAAAAATAGATGTGATAATTGAATTTTTAGCAAATTAGACTAATTTTATATATAATAATTGAATTTTTAGCAAATTTACTTGATTTTAGAGATAGCAAAAACCTTTAAATTTATGCAGATCAATTATGACCTATATTAGAGATGTTCGGGGTCCTACTTAAACCTACTCCTCAGACCAAACCTTTAACACAAGAACAATGCTTTATTTACCATTTCTATCACTTCTCTCAACTCTCTAAAGAAAATAAACTTGAACTTCTTCAAAAACTTGTTGCTAGAAGCAAAACAACCAAACAATCTCAACAACAAAATCCAAACTAACAAACTAACCAACCCAAATCCAGAGATACTTCTCAGAACTTAGATTGGTTTGCAACTTACCCAATTTTCCAAAAAATGGAACAAAACACCAAACTTAATACTATGCTTTCACAACAACTCTTTAACTTTACCAAAACTCATCTTTGCAAATTTACCCCTGGTTAACCAATTTCTAACTCAAACAAAGATCAATTCTCTAAACCTCTACAAAAACAAAGTTTTAACTATTTACTCAAATTCATGGCTTCTGAAAGACCAGAATTCTTTATTCAATTCCTCCAAAAATCTAACACTGACTTAACTCCAAAACTGATCATTCCTCAATATGCTTATATTTCTACTCTTAAAAACTTACTTACTAAATTTACTGAACTTCTTTTCACCAAACTTAACTATCCTTATATCTTTAGATCTTATTACTCAATTCCTCCCTATAGTATTACTAACTGCTCCAAAGTAGCAATTAATTTTGCTCGCTTATATCTTTTTCTTCACAACAAATATAAAACAATTCACTATTAAAAATTTGTAAAAAAACTTGATCTTCATCCCCTTTGCCTTTCAATTCAATATAACTTTGAATATAATAACCCAAAAAAACCTTTATTTAATATCTATAACAATAACCATTTTACTATTACAACTACTCTTAATATTCCCAAATCTAAATTCCTTAATACCTTCAGAATCCCATCCTTAAAACTACACACTAATACACTCAACTTTTTGTTTGAAGAATTTATTAAAACATATACAAACAATTCACAGAAATTAATGAAGATAAAGTATGCTACCAAATCGCAACTACTTTAGTAGAAGAATGCAAAAAACTTTTACCTTCAAACTTTCAAATCACAGAACCATCATTTCTTAAAGATCGCTCTTTCCAAACATCCAAAAAAGAATTTCATTACATTTATACATGCAATAATAAAAACTGTACAATCCTTTCTAAGGACACAGAACATAATTTACATTTTTTTTCAATGACTCGTTTAAATCCTTCTCTGTACCACCTAAAGAAGATACTCCTAAAACAACTTCTTTCGATTCTGACTTCTCTATTTTCCTACCTGACAACAACATACTGCAACATTTCAAAAATCAATCTCACTTCATACATTAAATGATCTGGCCCTTAAAGCAGATTAAAAATTTGCAGAAATCAATAAAACTGATACAACTACTAAACGAACAGCCTATTACCTATATTCCTACCTTAAAGCATACCTCAATGCTGCAGCAGAAAATGACAATATCTCCAATCTTAATCTTGATGAAGCTCTAGAAAAAACTATCACTCCAACAACTGATTCTAATACTCTAGCTTGAATAATTCTCCATTATAATATTTTCCAACAACCCAAATTCTCAATTTCACAAATTCAATAAGACTATGAACAAAAACACTATCTTGAAGCAGAAAAATTTATTATTAAGCACTATGAAATCAACATTCCAACTCTGCTTGATGACAATATTTTCCTATCTTCAAATCCAAATAACTCTACCT